TTCCTCTCATGCCCATGCCTACCCCTAAAATACAATCTTTGACATAAAAAGGAGAAAAGGTGATTTTCCCCTTTCACTTTATCTACCACTCTCATCCCCACCCTCCCCTCCACTGCCCCACCATCACCCTTCCCCACTCCAGACACAAGAAGACTTGCAGGCCAGGCCTACATAATGTCTAAAGTCATTATGTAGATGATATTGTCATCCGAACCCACAGGCTCTCCTTTTTTCTCTTCTCTATCCCTTTCTCCATAATCTGTACCTTTCTTTTCAGTGTCTTCCCCATCTTAATTGGTCTAGTCTACCTCATTTCAAAACTGAAAAGGATCTAATTTTCATTTTCAACTGAACATGACATAGAGTGCACGCTCACAGACAAATGCCTTTTCCACTAACTGTGGAATAAAAAGCTTTGACTCCTAGTAAATAAACTTCAGCCATCAAAGAGAAGATGGAGGTGATATCTGCTTCAGTTCTTAGGGGTGGAGGAAAGGAGATGAGACAGATTAGAAAGTGGGGCCATCAGCCTCTGTCTTCTGACTCCCTGTGTCCTTGGAGCCCCCCTTGCCCTCCTGCCAGGAAGTTACTCCCAGCTGCAGCTGCATCCATTGTCTTCGGTTTGCCTGGGAATTACTGGGTATAGCAGTGGCACGGTCTTGTTGCTGCTGCGGCCCTGGGACTAGGAGCACGTCCTGCCTATATAGAGGGCCACACAATTCACTTACCACCTGCCCTCCCTACCTAGCTCAAAACTGTTCTGACGCTCCCTGGTGCTGGGAACCCGGGGCCACCTTCCCTGTTCTCACTCCTAATTTCAGGACCACCAATTCTGGTCTGGGTCTCACTCTTCCCTCAGTATCAGTTGAGGTATTGTCAGCCAGTTATTTACTTGTGCCCCAGGCAAGCAATTCAACCTGAACAGGGGCATACTTGTCTGGGTCCTGGAGCCTTAGTAAGTGCAATCAACATAATTACTCACAACCCAAAGCATCTTTTTTTAGGCATCAGAAATATTTTCTTTAGTTTCAGTTTTCAATTAAGTAAGTGCTTTCATGTTTTTAGGAAAATATTGGCCATTGTCATCTATTCATTTCTTTTCCCAGTGGAATTCAGATGCTCTTTACACAGTTGATTTTCTTTTCTTTTTTCTTTTTTTTTTTTTTAGACGGAGTCTTGCTCTGTCACCCAGGCTGGAGTGCAGTAGGGCACAATCTCGGCTCACTGCAACCTCTGCCTCCTGGGTTCAACATCCTGAGTAGCTGGGACAAGAGGCGTGCACCACCATACCTGGCTAATTTTTGTATTTTTAGTAGAAACGGGGTTTCACCATGTTGGCCAGGCTGGTCTCAAACTCCTGACCTCAAGTGATCTGCCTGCCTCAGCCTCAAAAACTGCTGGGATTACAGGCATGAGCCACTGCGCCCGGCCCCAAAGTTAATTTTCAATGGCAAATATTTAAATGAAAATAAGAAACTTCTTTTGAGAGATGTCTGTTCATGTCCTTTGCCCACTTTTTCATAGAATTATTTTTTTTGTTTGTTTTGCAATTGAGTTGTTTGAGTTCCTTGTATATTCTGGATATTAGTCACTTGATGGATAAATAGTTTGCAAATATTTTCTCCCATTGAACAGGTTGTCTCTTCACTCTGTTGATAGTTTCTTTTGCTGTGCAGAAGCTTTTTGGTTTCATACAGTCCCATTTGTCTATTTTTCTTTTGAATAAATATGTGAAAAACTGCTCAGCCTCACTAATCATCAGGAAAATGTACATCAAAACCAAAATGAGATATTATCTTATCGCAGTTAGAATGGCTATTATTAAAAAGACAAAAAATAACAGATGCTGGCAAGGAATTTGGAGAAAAGGGAACTTTTACACACTGATTATGGGGATGTAAATCAGTATAGCCATTATGGAAGACAGTATGGAGATTTTTCAAAAGACTGAAAATAGGACTACCATACAATCCAGCAATCCTACTTCTGGGTATATATCCAAAGAAAGGGAAAGCAGTATATCAAAGGGATGCCTGCACCCCCATGTTTATTGCAGCACTATTCACAATAACAAAGATATGGAGTCAAGCTAAGTGTCCATTAGTGATAAATAGATAAAGAAAATGTGGCGTGTATACACAATGGAATACTATTTGGCCATTAAAAAAAAGAATAAAATCCTGTCATTTGCAGCAACATGTTTGGAACTGGAGGTCAGCATGTTAAATGAAACAAGTCAGACGCAGAAAGACAAATATTGCATCTTCTCACTCATATGCTGGAGCTAAAAAGTTGACCTCATGGAGGTAGAGAGAGTAGAATGATGGTTATCAGAGGCTGGGAAGGGTGTCTGAGGGGAAGTGAAGAGAGGTTGTTTAACGGGTACAAACATACAGTTAGATAAAAGTGTTACCAGTGCAGGGGCGTCCAGGTTCTTGGCACCTTTAACAAAGGATTGGACAAAATGCACAAACAAAGCAAGGAAAGAATGAAGCAACAAAAGCAGAGATTTATTGAAAATGAAGGTACACTCCACAGTGTGGGAACAGGCCGGAGTATAGGGGTTCAAGGGCCCTGTTGCAGAATTTTTGAGGGTTTAAATACCCTCTAGAGGTTTACATTGGTTACTTGTGTACACCCTATGTAAATGAAGAGGACGAAATAAAGTTACAAAGTCATTTACTGGGCATATGCCCTACGGAGAGGAAATGCCCTGTCATAGCTGAAGTGTGAATTGGCCTTATGTTCCCTGCCTCCAGAGCCTATTTTCCTCCCTCAGAAGGAATAAGTTCCAATATTTGAAAGCAGAGTAGGGTGACTACAGTTAACAACCATAAATTTTATATTTCAAAATAGCTAGAAGAGAGGACTGGAAATGCTCCCAAAACATAGACATGATCAATGCTCGAGGTGATGGATACTCTAAAGGCCCTGACTTGATTACTACGCATGCTATGCCTGTAACAAAATATCACATGTACCCCATTAATTTGTACAAATATTGTGCGTCAATAAAAATATTTTAAAATAGGAAACTACCTTTTTACATGTAATAATCTGAACTCTCCTGCAGAGCTATCTTATCCAACAGCTCTGAAGTATAAGGAAAGCAAAAAGGAATTTAGAAACTTTCCCCCAAAACTCCTTTCTAAGTTTTATTTTACTCCGTTATCCCTTTAAATGAAATTATCCCAGGGCGTAAAATATTAAGTAAAATACAGAGGCAATTTGGAGCAAGAAAACAGGAGCAACTTGCATGTGGTACTATGCCACTTTTTATGACCCACTTTCAGACATTTTTAATGTGACATAAAATAAATTCTGCTGTCACAACTTCCCATCCTCCCTCCAATCTTGAAGGTGGGCTGGTGGGCTTCCAGAAAGAGAGCTCTGCTCATCAACTGGCTGAGTATCTCATCTTCCAATCCACAGCCTCCACACTTCCATCACAGCATAACCAGCTTTCCTCTCTAGTCTCTCCTCTCCAGCAATCTTCTACATGGCAAGTACGTATTGTGTGCCTAGTATGTGCCAAGCTCCACCGATATACACCATTGCTCTTCATTTAACCCATATGAGAATGTTTCCCTATCTTTAAACTCTTATTTTGTTTTTTAAATAATAAAATCCACAATGACTGGTAATTCTTGTTTGTTATAGTTTGACAGTGATGATGATTCTCTCTACATTGGAATCTTTGGGTAGGTCTCCACATCGCCCAGATGTCTGCCCCTAACCCTGACCACCCAGGATTCTAGCTCGTGGTTGTCGTACCTGGGCCTGAATGTAGACTCTAGAAGTGATTAAACCTACAGGTGAGGAGGAAGCATGTGACATGGAGACAATCAATGTCACATTAGGGTCCCCAGTGCTGTTTATAAAAGACTTAAAGACTTCAGTGGTCTAGCCTAAGAATCTACATTGCCCTTACAAAGAGTCTATGGAACAGGATGTTCCCGACAAAAATAATTTCCTCCTGTCTTCTTTTTCTTGAGCCATATATCATTTGTAAGTTGGGAACTGTTTTTATGTAAGTACTGGTATATTTGGTGAAATAGTCCCATTACTTTGTAGCCATCCTTTTACAAAAAAGCTCACTTAATCCATTTGTACATCTAGGTCATTTTCAACCTGAATAACTGGATATAAATTTTTCTCAGTTTTGACAAAATGACATAGTTTTTTATAAGAGTTCCCTTTTGTTCCTTTTAAAAATATAACTAGATACAGATTTATCATTGGTATAAAACATACAAATCTAACAATAGCCATTATTGGTATTGGTTTATACATCATAACTGTGCATAAAATTTCTAACATATGGCCAGGTGCAGCAGCTCACACCTGTAATCCCAGCACTTTGGGAGGCCGAGGCAGGTGGATCGCTTGAGCTCAGGAGTTCAAGACCAACCTGGGCAGCATGGCAAAACCCTGTCTCTACCAAAAATACAAAAAATTAGCCAGGTGTGGTGGGTGTGTGCCTGTGGTCCCAGCTACTTGGGAGACTACAGTGGGAGGATGACTTGAGCCTTGGAGGCAGGGGTTGCAGTGAGCGGTGATCGTGCCACTGCACTCCAGCCTGGGTGACAGAGTGAGATCCCCTTTCAAGGAAAAAAAAAAAATCTAACATACTCTCTCTCTCTCTCTTTTTTTTTTTTTTTCCAGCACACAGTAATATTCTTCTCTCCTTATACTAAGGATCCTCTTAGTCTAGCTGGAAATCACTGGTTTCACCCAGAGGATCATCCACATGCTGAGAATGGGGGCTTCCAACTTGTTACCAGCAGAATGGGAGGGAAAGTGCCTCTGACCAAGGAGATCTCGGTGATCTGTACATGCCTTCAGTTACACAACAGACAGATCTGTCTGAAATAATGACAGGAAGCAAAGCATGGCACCTGTTATACACTGCAACCATTTTCCAACTTTGTGTTGCTGAAAAGGTCTGAGCTGCCTGAGGCAGTGTTTGTGTTTTCTTCTGCTGTAAAAAACGTACTCACCCTAAGGAGTAGAGGCGGCACTGCTTGATGCGGATTTGATGAGCTAAATTGAACCTGTCGTCAAGACACACTGACCAGGGCTTGTGTGTAGGACTAGAGTCAGTAGCCAGGCTGTCTGTATTCATGTGATTGCATGCAATCTGTAAAGATTGGAAATCAATGTGAATAATTTGAAATGTTGGATGATAAATAGCAGGTAGGGACTTATTGCTTCCCCATCCCTGAAAACCATAATAGGAAAGTTATATCCTCCTCCAATGCTAACTACTCCCCTCCCCAGGGAACCACAAGACTGCTATAAAGTGTTTGGAGGAATTTCAATGACCAGATAATAAGTAATCTCATGGAGAATATATGCAGGTTTGGAAAGAATTTAAGAGCTGCTGTAGCCATGTGCACAGGGTGTGCAGGGCAGAACAAATCAAGAGCAAAATGTGGGAGGAGCGGTGGTGTCAGGAAGGCTTTGTAGAGGGGTGCTAGTCCTGGAGGATGAACCGGGAGACTTGGACCAAGAAGGGCATTCCAGATACAGAGAACAGTGCTCACCATGCAACCAGACACAGAGAACAGTGCTCACCATGCAACCAGACACAGAGGACAGTGCTCACCATGCAACCAGACACAGAGGACAGTGCTCACCATGCAACCAGACACAGAGGACAGTGCTCACCATGCAACCAGACACAGAGAACAGTGCTCACCATGCACACACGTCTTCGTTACCCACAGAGGGCCTACTATAAGATGTGAGGCACAATCATAGGCATAGATCTCAGAAGCATACTCCCAAGATTAGTTATCCCTTATTTCAGGCAGACAAGGTGGGGCCACTAAGGTCCAGAAAGGTGGCAGGTGTTATCCAAGGTAAACAGCTGACCACGGGTCAAGTGAAGTTAATAGGCAGTCCCTGCTGATAAGGCAGTGTTCTTTGTGATACACTGCTCGAATGCGCTTCCTCCTGGGGGAGAAGGGCAACAGCCCCAGGCAGGAGGCTCTTCCGGAGCTAACAGAAGCACTTTTCTTAACTCATCCATCAAAATTAGATAAGAAAACCAAAGGGAACGTGTGTGTAAGTCAAGCAGAAGCAAGTCTCTAACTTCAACTGCACACAAAGCAAATATACTTCATAAGGGATTCTGACTTGTGTTTGAGGCTAGTACATTTCACACAGCTGAGGCTGCTGAAACCAAAGAAAATAAGGAAAACAAGTTCTGTGGCCAAGATATTTACCTTACTGAGCAACAGTATTTTCCCCCAATCCCTTAAAACTCTCATAGTCATCATGATGCTTCATGAATGCAGTAGCTTTTGCTGTCACAGCATAGACCAGAGACCGCTCCAGATGCAAAGAATGTTTTGAGATTCATTGCTTTCATCCATTGGAAAACATTAACAGCAAGCAATTTTCTTCCTAAGAAGATATTCTAGGGCCAGGCACAGTGGCTCACGCCTATAATCCCAACAGTTTGGGAGGCCGAGGCAGGAGGATCGCTTGAACCCAGGAGCTCAAGACCAGTCTGGGAAACATGACAAAACTTCATCTCCACAAAAAATACAAACATTAACCGAGCATGGTGGCATGCGCCTGCAGTCCCAGCTATTCACGGGAGTTGATTAATTGAGCCTGGGAGGTTGAGGCTGCAGTGAGCCATGATTGTGCCTCTGCACTCCAGCCTGGGCAACAGAGCGAGACCAGATCCTGTCTAAAAAAAAAAAAAAAAAAGAAAAGGAAAAAAAAGATATTCTAGATTTGGCCAATCCTTTAACTGATTTTCCAAAATTTTAATCTAAGAAGAGCATATTAGGTGGAGCCTATTCAACTAACACAGCATCTGCATTACTCTTGCTATCCCCTCTGGCCAGCGTGGCAAAATTATCTCGCACCATTTATCAGTGAATGTGTCTTCTGCTAGGATTTGGACATCTCAGAGGAAAGCTGAAAAAGTGAAACCCCTATATATCTTTTCCCTGAATCCAGTATTTTTCTACTTCTCGATCTTCAACAACTGTTTAAAGGACAAAATAATTGGAGAAAATGGAATTGAATCTTTTCTCAAGCAACAGCTACAGAATACATTTATTAACTGGGTGCGTCAACATGTTAATTTGATAATTCATCTCCTACTATTCTCCCACAGATAAATGGAAATTATGTCTCTGCCTGCCCACCTTCTATTCCCCACCCACTCACCTAAGGGAAGAGAAGTTGCTAATCTAGTTAGTCAGAACTCTGTGTTCATTGGACCCTGTTCTGCTAGTGGGCAGATTACTGTGCCTTAAACATGGGTGCCTTCCTGAGCCCCACCTCCAGTGGGAAACTAGTTAGTCCAGGGCAGCTGTGTGTGCCCCCAAAGCATGCCTGGACCTTATAAGCCTGAGCCATCTGCTTGAGGGAAGTCTCCTGGGATATTTTTATTAGAGTGGCATGATGATCCCCATTTGCTATTGTTCTTTGTGTACATGTCTCCATAATGACAGATGAAGATGTGATGTTTGTAGGTCCTTGCTCCTCGTTCCCTCCTAATGCCATCCAAACCTAGCTCTGACCTTTCCCACAGTGTTTCTCAATGTGCGGTCCGCCTACATCAGAATCACCAGGGAGGTACTTAAAATGCAGATTCCTGTGCCTCCCTCCAGATCTACAAACTCACAATCTTTGAGGCTGATACCTGAGAACATGCATTTTAATAAGCTCCCCCTGGGAGATTTTTATGCAGATGACCTTTTGAGTTTACTGGAGGCCTTTTGTAAAGCCCCAGTGAAAGTTTCCAGCGAGTCGCATCTCTGCCTTAACAAATTAAAAGAGGCTACACTTGGGCCAGAACTTTAAACTGAAAACAGCAGCCCCTCTGACCCCCACCCCTAACAACGGACTGAAGGGGTTGGCACTGACAGTTAGCCAGAGGCCTCCAAAAGTCAGGTAGGCATGGAAGATCCAGAGTCAGAGCTTTCAGATCCAGCTGCTCCTCCTTTGCTAAAGTCGGGAACTAGGGTTTTATTTTATTAAAGATAACACTTTGTCTACTTTAAGCATTTCTTCTTCTTCTACAGATTTCATCTTGGACAGATATATCTCCATTGACGAGACATTCTTTTTCATTCACTCCCCCTGATAACATCCCTTCTTCCTTTCTTAGCTCAGAAATAAAACACAAGCGCCAGGAGCGGTGGCTCACACCTGTATTCCCAGTACTTTGGGAGGCTGAGGCGGATGGATCACAAGGTCAGGAGTTTGAGACCAGCCTGGCCAGCATGGTGAAACCCTATCTTTACTAAAAAAAATACAAAAGTTAACCAGACATACTGGTGTGCACCTGTAATCCCAGCTACTCGGGAGGCTGAGGCAGCAGAATTGCTTGAACCGGGAGGCAGAGGTTGCAGTGAGCCGAGATTGTGCCAGTGCACTTCAGCCTGGGCAACAGAGCAAGACTCCACCTCAAAAAAAAAAAAAAAAAAAAAGAAAGAAAAGAAAGAAAACACAAGAATTATTCAATTTTAACCATTTATTAACCATCTCATTAACAGCTAGCTCTGACCTTTCCCACAGTGTTTCTCAATGTGCGGTCCGCCTACATCAGAATCACCAGGGAGGTACTTAAAATGCAGATTCCTGTGCCTCCCTCCAGATCTACAAACTCACAATCTTTGAGGCTGATACCTGAGAACATGCATTTTAATAAGCTCCCCCTGGGAGATTTTTATGCAGATGACCTTTTGAGTTTACTGGAGGCCTTTTGTAAAGCCCCAGTGAAAGTTTCCAGCGAGTCGCATCTCTGCCTTAACAAATTAAAAGAGGCTACACTTGGGCCAGAACTTTAAACTGAAAACAGCAGCCCCTCTGACCCCCACCCCTAACAACGGACTGAAGGGGTTGGCACTGACAGTTAGCCAGAGGCCTCCAAAAGTCAGGTAGGCATGGAAGATCCAGAGTCAGAGCTTTCAGATCCAGCTGCTCCTCCTTTGCTAAAGTCGGGAACTAGGGTTTTATTTTATTAAAGATAACACTTTGTCTACTTTAAGCATTTCTTCTTCTTCTACAGATTTCATCTTGGACAGATATATCTCCATTGACGAGACATTCTTTTTCATTCACTCCCCCTGATAACATCCCTTCTTCCTTTCTTAGCTCAGAAATAAAACACAAGCGCCAGGAGCGGTGGCTCACACCTGTATTCCCAGTACTTTGGGAGGCTGAGGCGGATGGATCACAAGGTCAGGAGTTTGAGACCAGCCTGGCCAGCATGGTGAAACCCTATCTTTACTAAAAAAAATACAAAAGTTAACCAGACATACTGGTGTGCACCTGTAATCCCAGCTACTCGGGAGGCTGAGGCAGCAGAATTGCTTGAACCGGGAGGCAGAGGTTGCAGTGAGCCGAGATTGTGCCAGTGCACTTCAGCCTGGGCAACAGAGCAAGACTCCACCTCAAAAAAAAAAAAAAAAAAAAAGAAAGAAAAGAAAGAAAACACAAGAATTATTCAATTTTAACCATTTATTAACCATCTCATTAACAGACATTAGCTTTTGTAAACAAATGAAAATCCTCCATAAACTTCTGCTCCTAAAAATTAATTAAGTATTGATTTTTCACCCTTTCTAGTTAGGATTTATGGCCAGGGCTTCAATAAACTCTCTTGTAAGCAAAATAAGTGAGGGCAGTAACTTCTAGCTAACTTCCAGCTCAACTAATTATGTTCTCTGTCTCTCTAATTCCCCTTGTAATTTTAGCCAAATAAAGCAAATTAGGCCTAGACAAAGGAAAACAGACTCTAGGAAAAAATATTTTGTGAAATGTTTTTTAATTATTTAACTTAAAGGGATCTAATTTATTTTCATTTCATTTTGTATCCCAAAAGCTTGACTGGTATTTCTGCCAACCCATAAGTAGAATCTGGCAAAGGAAACCCTTAAAATTTTGGAACTTGAGAATCACTTCGATGATCTTCTGCATGTTTACAGAACGATCAACTCCATGCTGTGTGGTTATATAGTACCATTATTTTTGAAAGGCTCACGGGCAGAATTTTGTGCTTATTGTTTTCATCTCGGGGTATGTGTGTGTGTGTGTGTGTGTGTGTGTGTGTAGCAGTAAATACAACAGATACTATTGTATTGTTGTAAAGTTATATTCTGAATATCCAGAGCATGGGTTCTTATTCTTAGGTTATTCTTACAAATTGATAGATGGGTAGACAACTAGGTAAAGAGGTAGAGATGGATGGATAGATGGATAGGTGGACAGAAAGGTAGGTAGGTAGATAGATAGATAGATAGACGATAGACAGAAAAACAGGCTTTAAACCATATTTTATTTTTTCTTTTTAAAAACAGCCACTGTTGCTTAGATTAATTTTATACTGCAAGGCATGCTTCCTGGAGGCATATGGTTTGGGGGATGCCATGAAAAGCTGAATCTGGAGACCTCCCTTAGAACAGAGCACTGTATTTATGATTTAACTATTTCTTGTTAGCAGCAGACAGTGTACCGTGGACTGCAGAACTCTGCCATGTATCACGGTCTTTCATATTGAAAATAAAAACAAAAACAAAAACAAATAGTACCTAATTAAACTGAGCTTGATGTTCTGCATACTCTACGCAAACACCATATCCTCTGGAATTTCATTTAAAAATGCATGGCCCCAACCATGCCTCCAGGACCACAATGCACAAGTCTAGAGGTGCCACGCCCATTGCTGTCTCATGCCATGCTGTCCTAAGCCCTATGCCTCTGCTCCCGGGCTCCCCCGGCCTAGGAAGCTTTCCCCACCCATCTGTCTGCCCCCTGTTAGAGAACACACAACTCTCTTGCACCCTAACTATTTACCAGTGTGGGGGGTGTTTGATTGTGGCTTAATATCCCAAGGCCCAGCACAGTGCCAGCCATAAAGCAGGTGTTCAACAAATACCCTCTGGATTGAGGAATGGATACATCAACGATGCACATACCAAATGCCGGCCTTGCTGTACAAGCTTGAGCACAGATTTGAGGGAAGCATATTTCTTAATGTTAAAAAAGCAGCATAAGAGGATGGGGGTGGAATTCGCATTAGTACTTTCAGAGCTTTTTTTTTTTCCCTTGCCCATGATGACTCACTTCTGCTAACTGAAGTTTTTAGGTAACAGTGACTGTAATATTCTGCTAGTTTTGTAGGCTTTCATTGTCAAGATGCGTTCTAAATGAGGCATAAGCCACAAAAGCAACCATAAAGCTTTGCATTACATACAGAGGGATAGGGAGCATTGGTTAGTAAAGGATTCTGATTAAGAACCATTTAGTGTCATCTCTGGTGACTCCCATCTGCTGGTCTTCTAGTAACCCGGAAGTACATCAAAGCACAGAACCTCATCTGGCTAAAATGGCCCCGCATTAAAAACCATTGTGAGGTCGGGAACTTTACATCATTCTTCTGGAGGACAAAAATCCTTCTAGTGAGCTTCAACAACAAATTCTCTATTATTGCTCATCAAGCTGAATAATAATTATACATCCAGTTATCCACCTTCACAACGAGTTGGTTAGATCCTTAAGGGCAGAGACTATAACCTCAGGGCCCAGAACAATTCCTGGCACCTTGTAGGCACTCAAAAATACCTGGTTAATAACCATTCTATACTACTCTGTGCACAGTACAAGCTCACAGAACTGGGAGGGACCTTAGAAATAATTTTGATACAATCTCTTCCATTTCAGGATCAGAACAAGGAGAGCCAGAGAAGCAAAGTAAAGTACCCAGGTTTATAGGATCAGACTATGGAGGATGCCTTTTAAAAAAAAAAAGTGTGTCCACGCACAGTGGCTCACATCTGTAATTGCAGCACCTTGGGAGGCTGGGGTGGGTGGATCTCCTGAGGTCAGGAGTTCAAAACCAGCCTGGCCAACATAGCGAAATTCTGTCTCTACTAAAAATACAAAAATTAGTCAGGCGTGGTTACAGGTTCCTGTAATCCCAGCTACTTGTGAGGCAGAGGCAGGAGAATCACTTGAACCTGGGAGGCAGAGGTTGCAGTGAGCTGAGATTGTGCCACTGAACTCCAGCCTGGGCGACAGAGGAAGACTCTGTCTTTAAAAGAAAAAAAAAAGAAAGAAAAAGAAAGAAAAAAAAAAAGATTTTTTCTCCTCTCAGTCCGTAGTTTCTGGGAAAAATCCAAGAGGGATCTAAAAATGACCATTTCATGCCTCAATAGCTTCTTCTAAGCAAACAGGCCTTTTATAAGTTATGGAACATTAACATGAAATACATATAGAATGGAATTTGGTAGCTTGTGTTATGTAAATTTATTTTGGTGAGTGAAGTCCATAGTTCTCAAATTCAATTCATAAAATTAACACCTCTTATATTCTTCTGGAGCCTTTAAGGGCTTTTGAAAATCACAGTTAAGAGGTCCAGATTCTTATCATTCACGTAAAATCAAACTACAAAACTAAAATTTCAGTATTTTAATTAAGTCTGCCTAAGTCCATCAAATTAATTTGCAGCAGCAAAATAAGATAAAATCATGAGAAGCACAGGGACGAATTCAACATCCCATCACTCATGATTAATTCAACCAGCTTTTATGTCCATGTCTGGGTGATAAATACTAAAATTCCTATGTTTGTCTCATTGCTTTATATGAGAAATGAGACTTTCTTTTACCCTTAAACTAACTAACCTCCTAAAGATCTAGAAATATATTCTCTCCTATGGAGGAAAAGTGCTTTGCTGCCAGAGAGGCTGGGGAGGAGAACACGGATGTCAATAGTGGGCTTGAGGGAGATTTTAAAAATCCAGGATCCGGCGTACAGCACCAGCTCCACTGTGCAGCTTCCTGAGTGAGCCACTCTGCAGCTCCCAGGCAGTCTGAGCTCCTAATTTGCTAGCACCTCTCAGTTGACGGCTAAATTTCCCTTGGGCCTTGATTTCCTTTTCTGTCTCTCTTTCCCCCTGGGATCAGGCAACTTGAGAACGGAACCTCTTGATTAACATGTCAAGAGCCATAGACTCTCCTTAATGGACAGTCTCTTTGCCTGCTCGGGGCACTGGCTCAGCCTGGACCTGGGCAGGAGCTGCCACAATGTGTTAAGTCACTAATAAAGGCCTGTGCTCAGTAATGATTTAAAGTGCTCTGAGATAGAGGGCCTTTGGATTCATTAACTCCTCAGCACACTGCCTGCAAAGCCTCCTCTGCTCTCTTGCCTAGCACGTCCCTGGCTGCCAAGCATCTGCGGCAGAAGAGTGGAAAGGCAAGTTCCTCCAAATACAAAATGGTGCTTGAACCTCTAGATGATGGTTTTGTTTTGTGACATACTCGACTGCCTACTCACGGGGACCAATCTGTCATTTCAAATGGTTTTCCAAAGCAATTTTCTAAAGTGGATCTTTAAAACACTTTGGGATGAATCATTTAAACATTTCAGGTTGGTGACACTCTTGGAGGAAGGAACATGCCCTAGCAAATGGAACGCATCTTATCTGCCTCCAAGTGAGTGGATGAGTTTAAGCAACAACGCCTCTGAACACACTTCCCCATCAAGTCCTCATCAGGAGTTGCTGAGAACCTCCCCACCTCCTTCTTTTGAAAGAGGCAATCAAGATCTTTTGCATTCTTCTCTAACTCGTTTGAGCCTGAAACACAACCTGGGCGGTGCTGATATATCTCAGGAACCTCCAGGCTTCTTCATCCAGGGACTGAGCAGGGCCTGCCCAAGGCTGGAGATCTATATGCCACCGCGGACCCTGCAAGAGACAGAAAATATAGGTTGTGTGTAAGGAAGTAGGAACTGGGTGGGAGGAGAAGGACACAGTATCAGAGAGGAAGCAAGGCTGCTTTAGCTGTTGGCAAAACACACACATGTGCATACAGGCAGCAGGGGGCTCTTTGGGAGCTGCTGTCATTAAGGCCACATCAGTCACAGGGAGACAAATGAGGCCTGCGACAGCCCAGCTCCCAGGTTAAGCAGGAGAATGCAAGGGCCCCGGGGACTGTCTGACTCTGCATTTATGATCAAAGGCAAACTCCATTTGACCCCATTGGGCTCTCCCTTAGCTGCAGTTTATTTTATTTGAGGCTGTGCTCCACTAGGAAGAGAAACTCCCTTATCAATGACAGTCTCCCAAAGCTTAGAGCTTCAAAAATATGTGCCTCTCTAAACAAAGCACCATAATGCTGCAGACTCGTCTTTGTTCTGGGCATTTGTGTATCTTCCTCAGTGCAGGAAGATGGGACCACGGCCCTTGGCTGCTGGGACCCTGCACAGGCAGAGCGAGGACCCCAGAACTGTCAACACCAGGGCTGGGGAGGGTGGCTTTCTAGCACTGTGAGGCAGCCACCACCTGTTAGCAGAAGTTTCGAGGTGCTCCCATGAACAGAGTGATTAAGGATGACCTGCTCAGCCCCCTTTTGCAGCAAGGATGGGTGGATGAAGGGTTGGGGGAATGCAGTGGTCTGGAGGAAGCAAAAATGGGAGCCCCTCCAGTAAAAAGGGGGGCACTAGTCAGGAAATCCTTATTAGAGCTCAGAACTCCCTACCTACATTTGTCAGCACCAGGAGATGTCCAGGAGGTTCGCTGCAATTCCCAGGGGTGGTGAGGGCTCGTGCATGCTGGGGAAGGGCTGGGGAAAGGGAGAGCTCCAGGAGCTGGTGGGGTCAATGTCTAGCGCCAGGAAAGGCTTTGGGTGTCATAGCATAGGGTTCCTGCAGCGTAGTGAGAATGGGCCCCTAAACCCTTTTTATTGAGACGGAGTCTCGCTCTGTCACCCAGGCTGGAGTGCAGTGGCGTGATCTCAGCTCACTGCAAGCTCCGCCCCCCGGGTTCACGCCATTCTCCTGCCTCAGGCTCCTGAGTAGCTGGGACTACAGGTGCCTGCCACCACACCCGGCTAATTTTTTATATTTTTAGTAGAGACAGGGTTTCACCATGTCAGCCAGGATGGTCTCGATCTCCTGACCTCGTGATCCACCTGCTTCGGCCTCCCAAAGTGCTGGGATTACAGGCGTGAGCCACCGTGCCCAGCCCCCTAAACCCCTTTTTACAGTGAGGAAGTAGGCAGGGGAGGGTTCTGGGAGCAAGATATGTGCAGTCTTAGGAGGCCATGCTCAGTTTAATGCTCTGCTGATGCTGTCTCGAAATTCTTAGTAATTTTACTATTTTTTTATTACTGCTCCTTGCAGAGCAGGGCTAACTCACAGGCAGCGTGCCTAGAGTCAGTCAAAATTCTTAATAATTTTTGAACAAGAGGCCCTGCATTTCATTTTATACTGGGCCCACGAATCATGTCGCCAGTCTCCCCTGAGGGGCACCTTCTGGAAGAACAGCCTTCTCTTACAGCTCTTCTTGTTCTGCACAGGCTGAGCAGGCAGAGACTCTAGTAAGAAAGCTGGAGAACGTTCGTCATACATCTTCCCAGTTAATGCCTCCCACACCCTTATTTCTTTTCTCCTTCTCTGAATTTGATGTTGATTACCATTTGGTCAAACAATATTTATTGAGCTTTAGCCACTCTGTGCCAGGCACTGGTAAATACACATATACACAGTGTTCTCCAGTCAGGTACTGTGGTAGGAACTGTCTGCACCCAAAAAAGAAACATCTAGACAGGCCAGCCATGAGATACTTTAGTACAAATGTGGTTTGTTGCCCCTAGATGGGGTGGCCTAGGTGACTCGGGCTTACACAGAAAACATGGAAGTCGTGGGGAACAAGGTTAGTCTGTGTGAAGCAGACAGTCTGGGTTTGGGGAAGAGGAATCCATTCTCACATGGGGGTCTGAGATCAATGCGAGCACTTTGGAGTGATCAAGGGTTATTCAGTTTAGGCATTATTAGACACACACCACTGAAGGATCCCTGTAGAGCCCGCAGTCTCACATCCTCACAGCCTGTACCACCCTTGTAGGGGCTGAGCACCACACAGTCCCTCTAGAGTGAAGGAGGCCTCCCTGGTTTCCCACAGGTTGCCTCTTTTTTCAGGAGCCCACAGAGCAGGGCCAGCTGCATGGGCATGCAACCTGTGCAGGCTCTCCCAAGAAGCACTCATGGTCAGGTGGGGGAGACAGACATAGACGAAATAACTTCTATAGTAAAATGCTAAAATATTCAGGAGAGTCGTTCTCTTTAGGAAATATTTGATTCTGAAATCATAAATTATCAACACATTTAAACACAAATGCTTCCAGTCCTGCTTGGTCACACTGACAGACTGAGTGCTTCCCAGGTTACTGCAGCAGCCAGCACAGCAACATGATGTCCCAAGAGCACTCAGCTAGGCCCGGGGTTTAAAACCTCCCAGGTCACTGTCATGGACCACTCACAAGGGCCCCCAGCATCTGGCCCAGGAGTCCCTGGATGAAAATGATGGAGTTCATATGTTATGGTTTTCCTCAAAATGAGGAGTTGGCAAATCTTTTCTATAACGGGTCAAATAGCCAATGTTTTAGACTTTGCAGGCCACACAGTTTCTGTTGCAACTCCTTGCCTCCTGCTGTAGCTCAAGAGCGGCCATAGACAGTAAGTAAACAAATGGTTATGGCTGCCTTCCAATAAAGCTCCATTTACACAAACAGGCATCAGGCTGGATTGGGCCTGCAAGCTGTAGTTTGCTGACTCCTGCTCCAGCTGATTCTAATTCAGAGGTAGGCTGGCCTAGAAGAGGAGGTTTACTGAAATAATGCAAGGGAGGCAGGCTATGAAGTTGTTGGGGCTCAGAACATGATTCCCCAAAGTCTGGTGCTTTGGCCTGGTATGAACTTTAAAGTGTTGTAAGACTTTCTCCTTAGCTCAGGTAAAATGGGGTCTTTGTCACATGACCATGAGAGATTGGGCTCACAGACACTTTGAAGGGTGAGAAAAATGGAATTTACTGGGCAAAAAGGAAGAAAAGGGAAACAGGGACTCTCAGCAAAGCAAAAGTTCTGCTAGCTGGCTTCCTGCCTCACAGATTGAATCTCAGGTTCCATCCCAGAACAACAGAGGCCAGGCTCCTCCCCACTGCAAATGATGCAAACTTCCCCAGGGGCTCTGGCCCAGTGGACATTCCTCCCATTGCACAGGCTGGTCAGAGTTTCTCCGGGGTCCCCTTTATACTTGGCTGTCTCAAAAGGACATTGGATGGGCCTCAAAGGCGAGTTCTCTCTGATCTTCTGTGGCCCTCCTGTCTCTCACTCCTCTTTCTTCCCCAGAGTGGATACTAGAAACCAGAATTCCTCTTCTGTAAGGCAGGTGAGAGAAACTGGAGACCCTCTTCCCCAAAGCAAGCCATGAAATCTACAAAGGTCACTCTCTCCCTTCTCCCCGAATACCTTTGTTCCAGAGGGATCTTGCCCCATACCCAGGAGGAAGAAATGCTACACAGAGAGACCAAGAGGCAGCTGACCGGCCAGGCCTTGCTGGGGTTCCCCCCTCAGCCTATTACCATTAGATCACACCCTTTTGTCCAGTCACACTTCTATGTAGCTGTCCATCTTCATGGAACCTAAGCATTAAAACAGATCATTTTCCCTGCATCGCTGGGTCTTCATTTCTGAAGGCTTCCATGTCATGTAAAACTTTGATTAAATAAATTGGTTATGCTTTTCTCTCATTGACCTGTCTTTTGCTAAAGGAGTGTTGGTCATATGCTTACGATGAGTGAGGAAAGGTATTATACCTATTCCCTATGATGTCTAGATTATAACTAATGTTGTCATCTGGGTGACTTGGGCAACCAGTCAGGGTCCCAGCAGGATCCAGTGGGCTCATTCAAACGGGCTAATTCGAGAGAAGTTAACAAAAAGACTATTTACAAAGGTGCGGGCAGGGCTTAAGGAAACCAGTAAGGAATAAATAACGCAATACCTGTGTCTAGTAACACCAGAGAGCCCTTACAAGCCTAAGGGAACTAGATGGAGGAGTCTGTAGTAGAGGAATACAGCCAATGCTATTACATACTCCACCCTAACTGTCTGCCCCACCCACCAATCTCCTGCCTCCTGTTGACCAAACTCAAAGGAAAGGCAGGGAAGAGTGAAGCTGTGCTTGATCCCTGCACGTCAGCCTCCTGGGGTGGAGCAGAGTGGAGGTTGGGCCAGCAGGGGCAAATGGAAGGTTTCTTGTTCCAGCATTCTTTGGAAAGAGGCAGTGAGACTTGATCAAGGAGTCATTCATTCATTCAGTGGGCATTTGTGCCACATGCCAGGCTCTGTGTTACAATTTAATATAGGCCACAGCTGTGTAAACCAATAAATGCCAAAAAGGTTATAGGGGCTCTCACAGAGATCTCTACGGGGAACACTGGGAGCACAAAAAGGCGCAGCGCCTGAGTATTACTCCAAAATAAATGCCTGAAAATACAAAGGCAGAGCGTGGGAGGCAGTCTCCACTGCTAGAAGCCCAAAAGCACATCAAAGGTCTTTCCAGCATTATTAAAGAGACACCTTAAACACAGTAGTAGCATTTAACCTGGGCTAACACACAAAAGTAACTTCACAGATCAATAATTTAGAATCCATATGGTAAATCAATATGGTGAAACTATAGAATTATCTTAAGGGTCCTCAAATAGTATTCTTCTTGCCACCTAATATTTGTCATTTCCAACTGAGTGTTGACCACAAAGGAGCTAAGCACAGCAGTTGGAACAGTGAATAATGTTAAGTTGAGGAGTCTCAGATGGGCATATAATAGAAACACCGCAAATAGATGCCCTCAGAAGTGCTCTGGCTTAATGCTTTGGTTGAGCTGTTTAAAAAACATTTCACA